ATGGAAGGTAAAATACTAAGCTTTCAGAAGGTAGTGTGAAGTAGATCCTCACGACCTTGAGGTAAGGAGGCTAATCTTAAATTGGGCATAAAAAGTATTAATTATCAGGGATAGTAAAGATTAATTTTTGTGTTATAATTAGTAATTTCTATTTATCAGAGACACGTTTCATGTTGAACGACATGAGAAAGCAAGCCACAACATGAAGAAGTTATTTACATCCACTTAAGCGAGAGCTCATCCAGGATGTACAGAGCTCCCACAGATCAGTGAGATAAGATAAACCCATTAAAAATGTGCCTTAAACTTACGAAAGGACACCCTCATTAATCATCAAGTAAATAAAGGTTAAATCCCCACTGATACACATTACATCCTCAACAGAACGACTAAAACTTTAAAGACAGTAGTAAGTGTTGTGAGGGTATGAAAGAGTGAAAACTGTTGAGCGCTGCGGACAGAGGGTGAATTGTACCGTCCTCTGGAGTACTGTCAGGTAGTGAGTGATGCTGAGTTTAGGAGCGCTGTTGCCCGCGGGAGAAGGGGTGCCTGGAAGAGGTCCCAGGAGCGTCTTCTCGATTGCTAGGAACGTTCTTGTTCTCCCTCTGTGGTGGTGACATGGTTTTATTCATTTTGTGATAATTTATCATGCTGTTCATTTATGATTTATGTACATTTTATATGTGTTATACTACAATAAAATAGTGTATTTAAAAATTTGTTTAAAAAAATAAGACAAAAGTTGGTAGGGGAAGAAGTGATGGGAAGATACTGCTTAAAGTTTGTAAATCAACTAAAACAGCTTTAAATATGTTAGAGATGTTAGAGATATAAATATGAAAATAATGTCTTCTAAAATCAGATGGCAAAAGGAAGGAAGAAGGAGAGTGATTATGATTGCCGAAGTTAGAATGTTCATGCCATTCAAAGAAATGGATGATGAAGGTGATGTGTTTTATGGAGGTACCAGGTATAAAGGTAGCCACCAGAACAAAATACAAACCTTCCAGGTTATCAGAAGAAACACAGACCACATAGTAAAAGATTACTGCACTCGAGGAAACTAGAAAGCATATCATAAATATGAAGACAGAACTAAGAGAAGACATGTGCATCATACCAATAAAGGTAACTATAAACCCGTCTGATAACAGGACTTCTGGTAAAGGGTAATGTCTGGTTGGCACCCCTTAGGTGGGTGGACTAGATTGCTTGTAGCTGAGGTGGCTTGTTAGAGGGGTGAGGAGGTCATTGTCCGGCTGTCCTGCTAGTTTGGAAGTTCTGGTATAAAAGAGACTCTTAAAACAAAGATGTTGAAAGTTTGAAAAGAGTGGATCAAGCATCCAAAGCAAATGAAATTCTCAAAGGAAAACAGGTTGTGGTCAGGGCACAAAACGGTAAACTAGATGAGAAGGGTGCCCTGTAATGACAGAAAGTGCAAGTCAGTGAAGGTAGAAACCAGCACAGGCTGTCGACAGGTACCGAGTCACATGGCGTCCCACACATTAAAAGACAGCTGGAAAATACAAGGAGAAATGGTTCAAAATGCGCTAATGTTAGAAGTGTGATTCCGTCTCTGCCTGATCTGAGCGATTGAATGCACACAGATGAGGATGTGATTGTGAAAGTCTGTAACCCTCGACGCTCACGTTCGCAAACTGGGGAGCAGCACAGTAAATGAACATTCCACTGAGAAACTGGAGAAGCAGTAACAAAATATAAACCTGAAGAAAGCCAAAGGACATGATTAGTAGAGAAGTGAGCAAAAATTAATGAATTAGGAAACAGAAGAAAAGCTTAGAAAGCCCAAGAGCTAGTCCTTTTTGGGGGGCCGAGGGATGGTGGGATGTAATACGAGCTATTAACTAATCTATTAGGCAGGCGGGAGAGAGCACACATGTACGAGATAAGTGAGAAAAACCTACTGTGTGCTCAGCTCTGTGGAAATAATTCTGCATATGTCGAGGAATCCAATGATGTTCTGTAGCTTTCCAAAACTGACCCCAGAAGAGAGTGCAAATTCTGAACAGAATGACTATTAAGGAAGGAGTGTGGTTACTGAAGAGCTCTGCTGCCTGAGAGTGCCCGTCGGTTGTGCTCAGAAAGTGTCCTCAGCCTGTCATCAGTGGTCAGCTCTAGGGCTCTGATTTATTCCAAGTCATAGGAAAGGACAGTTTCTGAATTCTCTTAGGAGTCATGAGGCTGTTATCAAAACTCGAATAACAAATCTGGGTTATAAATATTAATGCTCTAGGGCTCTGATTTATTCCAAGTCATAGGAAAGGACAGTTTCTGAATTCCCTTAGGAGTCATGAGGCTGTTATCAAAACTCGAATAACAAATCTGGGTTATAAATATTAATGGAAAAATCTTATATAAAATATGAGTGAAAAATAACTAGTAAACTTTAAAAAAATAATTTACCAAGACCAGGGTTTATTTCCGGAATGCAAAGGTTCAGGAGATTTAGTAATGTAATTCACCATGTTAATTGATAAACAGAAAAGAATTCAGTGATAATTCCTATGTATCCTGGCTGAAAGGCATTTAGTCAAATTCACCATTGATTGAAAACTGTCTTAGGAAAATAGAACTAGAGGGATATATCTCCAGTACAAGAAAGTACGGTGTGCTCAGGGAAGAAGTAAGCAGCATTCCCATGGAAGTCAAGATAGAGTGCAAGGTACGAGGGGTGTCAGTACCTTGTCTGGTTCCACTTGTATGTATGCTGTCCAGATAAAAGGTGTCTACAGAATGATGGAGAGATATAAGGCTATTTATTACAGCATTGTTTGTATCAGCAAAAGACTGGTTAGCTTGTGATAAATTATGTAAATTGTTACGTGTTATACAGTGCAGTACTGTTGTTACTAAAAACAATGAGGCAGTCCTCTGTGTGGGCAGTGTATTCACATGAAATATTTCCAAGATACATTAATTGAAAAAAGTAAGCTAGAAAGCAATTTGTCATCAGAAAATTATACAGGATTTTAACAGTACAGAAGGGCATGAAAAAATACATCTCCCCACTCCTAACATATCCATTCTCAGTCCCTCCCTACAACAGTTTTTCCATCAGGATTTTAATTAAATTTAGTTTTAATTAAATTTGGCTTTTGGTTCTTTAGGGCCAGTGGGGAGTGACGGCAGCAGAGGAAGAGGAGGAGAACGAGAGGATTCAAGAGTTTCAAGAGTCTATACCAAAAATGTGTTCGCAGTTGCGAATATTGACACATTTCTACCAGGTGTGTGTGTGAGTACAACATTGTTATCCAAGCCACTTTCCCATTCCCTGTAACTCACGGTTTGCTGTCAAAATGATTACAGATGGATTGGTTCAGTCAGTTGGGCACTTGTTTGTGTGGGTGTGAATAGTACCCGTGGTCGTTCCTACCCTGGCCACATGGCGGAATCCCCCAGGAAGCCCGGGTCCCTCCTGGGAGATCCAGGTCTATACATGTGGGCCCCACAGCAGTGCAGGTGTGCAGCCAAGATGAGCACTGCAACTGCTGGTTGGTTCCACTGTTCATGGGGTGGGCAGGAGTGCTGGGGGCCTGCGGGCGTCTCTGCAGCTCCTCATGTTGACCTCATTGTGACCTCAAGGTGGGGCAGCACCCTGCTGCAGATGCTCACCCTGGGTAGAAAGGGGTCCAGCCAGCCAGCCTACAGCACGAGCTGGTCGCAGGTGGCTGTAAAAGGCCCTTTTACAAGTGATCTTACCTCTGACTTTGGCCTAATTTTGCATTTTTGTCGCAAGCAAGTTTCATAAGTGGTGGTAATGCCTGGTTTATGCTCAATGCAAAAATATCCTTATTGCATAGGTATTTTGGTATGAAATACCTTCTTGACCCCATGTTGTATGTATAGTATTGTATTAGTCCATTTGTGCTGCTTATAACAGAGTACCCAAAACTGGATAGTCTATAGAGGAATAGAATTTATTTTTTAGAGTTATGGAGGCTGGGAAGTCCATGGCTCAGGGGGTGCATGTGGTGAGGGCTTTCTTCTGGGTGGGATCTTGCTACGTGGTCCTGTAGTGACCAGGATGTCATATGTCGAGAGAATGGGAAGAGTTCTCTCATGTGCTCATTATAAAGCCACCAGTCCCCAGCCGTGATAACTCATTACTCTATGAATGGATCAATCTATTCACGACAACACAGTTCTCATGATTCAGTCGCCTCTCGAAGGTCCCACCTTTCAATTATTGTAATTGGATTTCCCACCCTCTTCACACTGGTATAGTGGGATCTAGTTTCCAATACATGAGCTTCTGGGGACACATTTGACCCATAGCAAGTATGTATTCATATTTCTTAAAAATAGGGATACACGGTTAGTTCTTCACTACTATCTACAATAAGATAGTTGTACGGCTATAAAGGAGTAACGTGTAATTTAAAAAATTTGTCCATGTGCTCATTTCTGAGAGAATGATGATCTTGTTTATGGTTACACATTTCTCTGATGGAGTTAATACATTTTTAAAAAGTAATCTTAATCAGTATAATCCTAGTTTTACTAAAATTACAGACTTCTTTGTAAATCATTACCATTCAAATTTCGTTTTCTTAATGGCAAGAGTCCTTTTCTGTTCTTTGTAGCAGTGCTTAAAACAGAAGCATGTTGACAGCTACTTGTCATTTACTGCATACGAATGAACATTCAGAGTCCCAAATCTTGGAAAGTAACATTCCTTAGATTTTCTTGTAGTCAGTGTCACAAATCATTATATTTCAATCTCATGACTTAATAGGAAGCCACTATTTATATTTTTGGCTGTATAATTCCTTAGGAGGTTCTTTCACCTAGAAAGAGTAATATTCTCACACACATGTTACAGTACATGCCTGCTGAAAGGTAAAATCCTTTATGTGGTATATATGGGCCTACACATGTACCACCTCTCCGGGTGTTCCCCCAGCATCTACCTGTGACTCTGGCATTCATTTTTCTGAACAGAAGCAAAAAAAGGGAAAATGATAGCTGGTGAGGAGTTTGGAAAGGATTGATGAGGATATGGTGCTTCTGTGACTTTTCTCTGTATGAGAACTTTTCTACAGCAGCTGGAAAATACATAGGTGACAGCAGTTACCGTGAACAGGTCAATGTCTGCTGGCAGTGAAGTGGGCTGTGGAACTTGGCAGGGATGGAGTTTATACTTAGTGAGTGACTTTCAACCCTAGGTGGAAGCAGTCACTTTGTCATGGTAATGTCTGAGTAAACTTCTGTCCTATCTCATCTTCACAAAGGTCCCTTGATAGTGAGGTGACATGGGGGCACGGTCCACCCCGTCAGGAAGGTGGCTGTGGCCTGACATTCACCGTGGCTCTGGAGCCCCGAGGTCACGGTGGACAGCGTGGATCCATTCTCTGTGTTCTCAGTTTGTCCTCCAGCAGGGCTTCATGACTACAT